CCTAGGACTGCAGGAGGGGGGGGGGGAGTAGCGCCTAACCACAGCGGAATACAAAGCATGGGCCGACGGCACCTGGCTCCTGGGGAAGAAGGCTCGCTGGTCGAACGAGAGGTGAAGGCGGACTGCAAGTGAGGCGGCAGCGTCTCGCGCCATCCACCGGTTGTAGGCAAGGTGAGCTGCGCGGAACTGCGTCCGCTCCTCCTCCTCAGCGTCAGCAGTAGGTTCAGCAGGAGCCTCTGGGGCCGGAAGGGACCCCGACGTGTGCTCGAACAGGGAGACGTTGTCCCGTTTGACACTCCGGAGGTACAGGTGCAGCCCCTCTAGCCAGGAGTCAAACCCTAAAGGTTGCCCCACTGCATCAAAGGCTAGAACAGTGGGAGTCGCCATAGCAGCATGAACGGCAGCAAGCAGCAGGAGCGGCAGTTACGGCAGCAGCGGAAGCACAGGTGGCAGCAGCAGCGCAGGCGGCAGCAGCAGCTCAGGCGGCAGCAGAAGCCTAGCAGCAGCAATAGCCTAGTAGCAGCAGCAGCAGCGCAGGCGGCAGCAGCAGCTTAGCAGCAGCAGCAGCGCAGCAGTAGCAGCACAGGTGGCAGCAGCAGCGCAGGCAGCAGCAGCAGCTCAGGCGGCAGCAGCAGCTCAGGCGGCAGCAGCAGCAGCAGCCTAGCAGCAGGAGAAGCAGCGCAGGCGGGAGCAGATTAGCAGTAGCAGCAGCGCAGCAGTAGCAGCAGCGCAGCAGCAGCAGCAGCGCAGCAGTAGCAGCAGCGCAGCAGCAGCAGCAGCAGTAGAGGTGGCAGCAGCAGCTCAGGCGGCAGCAGCAGCTGAGCAGCAGCAGCAGCAGCACAAGTGGCAGGAGCAGCGCAGGCAGCAGCAGCAGCTCAGGCGGCAGCACCAGCCTAGCAGCAGCAACAGCCTAGCAGCAGCAGCAGCAGCGCAGGTGGGAGCAGCAGCTTAGCAGCAGCACCAGCAGCACAGGTGGCAGCAGCAGTGCAGGCAGCAGAAGTAGCTCAGGCGGCAGCAGTAGCTCAGGCGGCAGCAGCAGCCTAGCAGCAGCAGCAGCTGAGCAGTAGCAGCAGCGCAGGGGGCAGCAACAGCTCAGGCGGCAGCAGCAGCCTAGCAGCAGCAGCAGCAGCTGAGCAGTAGGAGCAGCACAGCAGTAGCAGCAGCGCAGCAGCCCACAGCAGGGCAGGGCACGCTCGAGGCAAGCGGCAGCAGTAGCTTAGCAGCAACTGCAGCGCAGACAAGGCGCGCGCAGGCGGCACAGACAGTGTGCGGGCAGCGCACTGGCTGTGCAAGCAAGGCGCGGGCACAGCAGCTGGCAGCGGGTGCACGGGCAGGGCAGCGCGCGGGCTGCAGGGCAGGCGCTCGCGGGCGGCGCAGGGCAGCGCGTAGGGCAGGGCGGGCTAGCGCGGGTGCGGGTCGCTGGCAGAGCGCAGGGCAGGCGCTCGCGGGCGGCGCAGGGCAGCGCGTAGGGCAGGGCAGGACAGCCGCGCGCGGGCGGGGCAGGGCAGCGCATGGGCAGTGTTTGCAGGGCAGGCGCGCGCTGGAAGGGCAGGAAATTCGTCGCTTCTAGGGGCGCGATTCGAGCAGAAATCGACGTGCCTAAGGTCGCGATTCGGGCAGGAACAACACTAAGTGGTGGGCCCTTCAAAAAAAAAAAACGGTCCTTAGGAAGGACCCGCTCGCTCTATACCATGTCGAGATTAGCTAGGAAGGAATGTGTTGGATTAGGGCAAGGAGGGGGATACAATGAAGTGTCGAGCAAATTACTGTACCCCCTAAGGCTAAACCCACTACAGCCTAGATAACAGTAAACATATAACTTGACAACTATATCCATCATTGTTTCAGGAGCCGGAGATTTTGCGACGTGCACCCATTTACTTATTGGAGGGCTTTCTTAAGGGGAGGGGAGGGGGGGGGGGGGGGGGGGGGGGGGAGTGTAAGGGAAAAATGTGATTTCATTTTTGCGGATCGACGCGGGCTCGGCCTCGTTGCCGGTTAACAGCGTTCGTCACATCGCGCGCTACTTTTGCCAAACCTTGCGCTGTTATATAAGGCTGAGGCCCGAGTCGGCTTACGTATCGGGAATACCTCTAACCTCGCTACCGCGTAGGCCAGCTCTTAAATTTGCATTATCATTCTCATGTTCTGCTATAAAGTGTTATCGCTTGCCTTCTCCCACACCTGTTATATTCAGGCCCTTAGCTTTGACCTTGCATAGTTATTCGCAATTGAAAGAGATACTTTGCATTAGATGATTGATTCTGTTCTGGTCCGTAGTGTCTGTGTTTTAACGAGGCAGCTGATAGGGATCAGTCACATTTCTCCCGCTGCTTTCTTTTTCAGGGCAGACTAGCACGAGGCCGCTTGAGGTGTTGTCTCGTGAGGGGTGCAAAGCAATCAGATTTGGTTTGACCCGATCGACGAATGGCAGCAATGCAAATGACTTGGAGAACTGTTGGAAGGGAATCATGCCCTCCTGAGTGGAAACTGTTGCATTTGATTTGTGGTTCGAGACGAGAGGGGTTAGAGGTTCTTCCAGCTTGCTCTTGTAGCTGGCGCTTCGTGTCCCTCCAAGGGGAGAGATGCGTGGTTCAATTCGTGGATGGAGGGGGTAGCCGATGCAATGGGGTGCGGACTGCTTGCGGCGACCTCGTTACTTCGCTGTGCAGATGCATTTTTGTCAGAAATCTTGAGCACGTGAACTACTGGACGAGACTCAGTGCTTTGTGTGCTTCCCTAACTTAGTACAGTGAAGATAATCGTGTGGTTACTGACTTGCCCAGCAACGCTCAGGTCTGTAGTCACTTCTTCACGAAACCTCATCGACCGTCTTCTTTCACGCTCAGTACCTTTTCCAGAAAGGCAAGGCCATCTCCTTTCACACCGTTATGTAGGTCCAGTCTGAGCGACGACCACAACAGTAGTAGTAACAAGGTATCGATTGAGATCGGATGTGATATGCTCATTCGCACCATCGACCACAAGGCGTCCACCCCACGGGTGATTTCATATGAGCCACGCAACTCCTTCCGCCCCTCTTCAGCCTCATCCAGGCCCATGGCGCGCCAACCGCGTTCACCAGTGCTCAGCTAGGGGGCGAATGTGCTCAGAAAGGGCCGGGGTAGCGCGAAATGCGCTGTACCGTCAGACACAGTACAGCTTGACCCGGCGCGGATTACAGAGCAGGTGCGAACAGTGTATGGGGACGCCTTACCCGGCGACCAAGGCCGCGCTCGTTCATTCCGTTCGCTCGCTGATACAGCGCGGAATGGACTGTAGTAATTAAGAGCGGAATGGAGTGGAAACGTATTCAGAAGAAGTTGACGTCACGGATGACGTTCACGCGGAGGATCCAAGGCCTGCGAAATCGCTCATTGGCCCATCTTAGCATCCCCGCATTGGTGGCTGCTCCCTTCGGCTTGGCCAGCAAGGCCAGTCGAACCGACATTCTCGATGTGCAATCTAAGAAACTAAGATCCTCAAAGCGGGCCAAATGCCGAGGTAAATTGAGGCGCTGGTGCGATTTTTGAGTCAGCTCGATGTGCGATGTAAGAATCTAAGATCCTCACAGCGGGCCAATACCGAGGCTAATTGAGGCGCTGCAGTGCGCCAGGCTGTGCCATGCCAGGGTACTACAATACTGTGCCTTCGATGTTGACTTCCGCTCTATCCCATCTCATAGCGCCGTGAGCAACTGAGATGCCGGGTCCCACGGCGGTGCCGACTCTGGCGATAAAGCTGGGGGCTTCGAATCAATTTTCAGATTATCCGTTCTACCCCTTCTTCAAGCATTTTTTCCGACGCCTACAGGCACCACCGCGCTCGGTGCTTTGCAGCTGGTTGAAACGCATATATTGAAATCGCTTTCGAGAATTCTCAATGGCGACCAGCAAGCTCATCCGACCGAGCCTCGACGTCTCCTCCCGGCAATCGCGGGCTGTGCTCGCCACGTGTCACGCGGACCAGGTTCCTTTCTCGCGCCGCATGAACGACAGCCGTGCGGATCTCGATCTGCTCGCGCTGGAAGGCCGGCTCTCGCTGCTCGACGCGCAGCGCGAACTCAACGCGATTCGATGCGAACAGTTTGTTACCATGTTACAGTCGTTCTTGAGTGAGGGAGGGAGCAGCGGCGACGACTTGCGAAATGACTGGGAGTCGGGCAGAGAAAGGAGAATGGCGTCTCGATACAGTCACAGCCAAGCAGCGGCAGCGGGCCAGGGCGAGATCCCTCGCGCGCATTCAGCGCCGGCGGAGAACGGCGCGCAGAGAGTGCCGCGCAGCCACCGCCGCAGCAGCAGCCAGAGCGGTCGCAGCGCCAGGAGGCAAGCGCTGGCCGCTAACCGCCTGACGCGGTGGGCCTCTTGCGAGCAGCGCTGGAATGGCGGCGACGACGAGTGGTGAAGCCGCCTGCGCTGCCCTTGCCTTCCGCTCGTGTCTCCCCTCGCGACGCCGCAGTGCGCGCATCTGTACATAACTCGCTCCGTCCGCCGCGCTAGGCGTGTTTTTGACAGGCGTTTTTCCAGCATGGATGTTGAGAATGCTGAGATTGGCTGCAGCCTGTATATCAAGTACTGGTATTAAATATTACTCTTCTTTGAAACGACTTTCTTTTGCTCAATTCGCCGCAAACCTAGAGTTGGGAGAAACAAGCACACTCAGTTTGTGTACAAGAATACAATCATTGTATGTCTGAGCATCTGAACACCATCGATGGCGCCATCCCCCTCCTCCTGTGCTGTGGAAAAAGGCATGGCTGCTTTCAGGCTGTGTGCTCCACTACCACCCCTGATCTCGCATTGCATGCCATGATATGCAACGTTGCGTTGCATAGAAACTGAACACAGATTATGGCATCAATTTCCCATGTACACACAGCAGGTCAGCTGAGCTCCCCAGTGAAGAAGCTAGCCACATCTGGGTTATCACTCTCCCTCAGCTCCCCCGGCGGCCCCACCTCCACCACACGGCCCTGGCTAAGCAGTGCAGTGGCACACGCGTCAGCTGAGCTCCCCAGTGAAGAAGCTAGCGACATCAGGGTTATCGCTCTCCCTGAGCTCCCCCGGCGGCCCCACCTCCACCACGCGGCCCTGACTGAGCAGTGCGGTGACATCGGCCACGCGTTCGATCTGCGGCATGCTGTGCGACACCAGCACCACCGTCAGCCCCTCCTCTCGCCGCAGCCGCTCGATCGTCTCCTCCACCTTGCGCGTCGCCGTGGGGTCCAGCGAGCTCGTGGGCTCGTCCAGCAGGAGAACCTGGGGGGAGTTGGCGAGGGGCCAGGGCGCACGATGGAGGTGTTTCTGAGAATTCTCACAACAACGCCTGCAACACCTGCAACACCTGCAACAGCAAGGGGTCCAGCGAGCCGGTGGGTAACAATCCAGCAGCACAGCAGCACAGCAGCACCTGGGGGGAGTTGGCGAGGGCGCGTGCAATGGACACGCGCTGCGCCTCGCCACCCGACAGCTCGTGGGCCGCACGCTGTAGGAAGTCGGAGGAGGGGTCGAGCCCCGCGCGCAGCAGCAGGCTCTGCTGCTCCTCCACCCCCACCGCCACGCCCTGCAGCCCCGGCCCGTACCTCACGTTGTCCGCCACCGTGCCTGGGGGAGTGGGCGGGGGGGAAAAGAAGAGGGAAAGGGGGAGGGGGGGGGGGGGAGGGGGAGGGGGAGGGGGAGGGGGAGGGGGAGGGGGAGGGGGAGGAGGGGGTGGGGTAAGGGGGGAGATGTATGGGTGCGATGGGGAGGTGGGGAGAAGGTGAGAGGGTGGGTTGTGTGAAAGGGCAGGTGAGCGTCTGATGGTGGCAACAAGGTGAGAAGAGGCATGACAGAGCGGCAGGTGTGGGAGAGACGCAATGGAGAGGAGAGGCACGACACACATGCAGGCGAGGGAGAGCAGTGAAGCGGCAACAGCAATAAGCAGAGGGAGTGAGGATAAGCAGGCCTTGCGTTGAAGCAGGCACGGTGATGCTGAACGCCAGAGACCCGAGCTAGCGAGTCGGGTGCGTGTGGGGAGGGAAGCGGTGGGATGTGGGTGCGCGGCGAGCAGTACGGGCGAGGGACAGAGAGGAGCGTGACGAGGAGGGGGAGAGGAGGAGAGGAAGGGAAAACGAGACGGGCGGCATGAGGGGAAGGTCGGGAGGGGTGGGGAGGGGTGGGAAGGGGTGGGGAGGGGGCGGAAGCAGAGCTGGGGTGTGGGGAGGGGGCAGAGGAGGCTACCAGGGAAGAGGTGCGGGCTTTGGAACACCATGCCCACGCGGCGTCTCAACTGCTGCACGTCCATCGTGGTGACGTCACAGCCGTCCACCCACACGGTGCCACGTGCCGGCTCCCACAGGCGGTTGATGGCGCGCAGCAGCGTGGACTTGCCGCTGCCCGACGGCCCTATCAGCCCGAACAGCTGCCCGCGCGCCACGCGCAGCGCCACCCCGTCCAGGATCAGCGCGCCCGTGCTCGCCGCCCTCCGCGACAACCCCCGGATCTCGATCTTCGCGGGCGCCGCCGCCTGGGGCGGCCGCAGTTGAGGGGAGTGGAGAGGGAGGGGACGAGGTGGGGAATGGGAAGGGAATGTGTGAGAGGGGGGGACGGTGGGAGAGGGAGGAATGGATTGAGAGGGGCATTTAAACATGGAGGAAATGCGGCGGCGACGAGGGAGGGGGACAGGAGCCCGAGGAAGGCCATGGCCGCAGGTGCTGCCGCTTCAGACGGGCGCGGCGGAAGCATCGCCCGAAATAGCATGCGCGCAGAGGGCATTGCGCGCAAGGCCAGCGACAGCAGTGGAACGCGAGCAACAGCGACGGGGCAGCTGCCGAACGACCGTGCGACTACCTCACACCGTGCATGCGATCGTTGCCGGCTGTGCGACTGTCGCAGTCGCCGCGGCGAGTCGCAATGCCGTCGTCGGGAGTCGCCCGCGTCGCTCAGCCGCAGACACCGCGACTCACGGTCGCCCCACTGCCGCCACCCCAGCCGTCCACCCGCACGCGCGACGCTCGCGCTGATGAGGTGCGGCTGCCGCGCGACCGCAGGCAACGGACTGTGCGCGCCCGCGACGCCGCCGCTCATGGCGCGCCGATGCTGGCGCGCGGAGGTGAGCGATGGGCGCAGGTGACTTCTAAAGTCGACTCAACAGTCACGGCGGTGGGCGCCGCTGCGAGGAGTCGAGACGCGAGGGAACGGGCGCGAAGGCGGACGCGATGGATGGATGGAGGTATATCCGGAGAGCGCGGGAGTCACGGATGGCGAACTGACCGTGGTGAGCGGAGGCAGTGACGTCGCGGCGAGAAAGAGAGCGGGAGCAGGGAGCGCGGTACGATACACACGTAGCGGATGATTGGCTGCGTAGTGGCAATGGAACAGGAGCAGAGGAGAGGTCGCCCCTAAATCGAAGCTTCGTTTTGAGCACGAAGGCTCGTTATAAGAAGGCCGGATACGCAGTACAGTGGGTGTTTGTGTTCCATCGCATGCATATGATAGATATTTGTGTGATTTGAAGCACAGCAATTACTTTTTTAGTAACATAAATTGCACGCCTCTCACGGATGCAGTAAATTGTTTCAGTTTTACTCTACGGCTTCGTGTACCAGGGTGAACGCGTACTGCGGATAAGTTGTCGAAGCGAACAAACAACGCCGCGAACGAGCCACACGCGACGCCGCGGTACATGCGGCCGCCATGGATGCGGCGCGTGGCGCTCGAGTGCGCCTAGCGCCGCCAGGCAGAGCGCAGCGCGGCGAAGGCGGCGGCGCGAAGCCCAGCCGCGAAAGCGCGCGCGAGCGGGAGTCGCGCGAGCGGGAGGCGCGGCGGCAGCAGCTGCAGCGGTCGCTGGACGAGGCGCAGAAGCCGCTCGCCGCCGCCCTCGCCGTCGCCTGGAAAGGTGCCGCCTCCGCCCCGCTTCCCCTTCCCCTGGCCTCGCGCCGCCTCACCGCGCGCTTCCTCGCCCTGGCGGTAGCGAGTAGCGAGAGGAAGGATGTCTAAGGGGAGTGAGGAGCGAGAGGTTGGGGATGCGTGGGTAGCGCGAGGCGTGGCCTGTTGCTGTGCTGCTTGACGCTGGCAGCCGCCTCTCTCTCTGCTCCCCCCTCTCGCCCCACCCCTCCGTCTCCCCCCTACCCACTCTCTTCAGTTGCTGAACCTCCTTGTGCAGCACCACACTCATCACATCACGTGTCGCTTCTGAATGCATGACATGGCATGGTGTATGGGTGCATGCTGTAAGGCATGTTGCTCGGTTCATATTGCATGGCATGACTTGATGGCATGGTGCATGGTGCATAGTGCATGCCAGCAGGTTCTTTTCCGCCAACCTCCACGACTGCACGTCCTGCCACTAATGGCAGCTGTGCTGCTGCCACGTGGCAGGGAGCAGCCCCTTGGCAGGACACGTGGCAGTGGCAGTGGGCGTCCCAAGACCCTGCGTTGCACAATCAGCTGCTACGTGGCGTGCAGCGATTGCTCGACTTCGTGGCGGCCAATGAGATGCCTCTCTGGAGTGACGTGGCGTGCAGGCGGGCAGTGAGGGTGAGAGGGGCGGCAGTGAGGGTGAGAGGGGCGGCAGTGAGGGTGAGAGGGGCGGCAGTGAGGGTGAGAGGGGCGGCAGTGAGGGTGAGAGGGGCGGCAGTGAGGGTGAGAGGGGCGGCAGTGAGGGTGAGAGGGGCGGCAGTGAGGGTGAGAGCTGGGCTGCTGGCATGCCGTTGATTGGCGGGTCATGAGCAGAGAGTGCTGGCGGAAAATGCTGGGGTGCCCCTGTTTGTCTTATCTACGTCTGGCTCACCATGCCCAACTGCGCCCCTCCCCACCTCTCGTTCCCACATGCTCCCTTCCTCCCCTCCTCCCCATCCCCCTCCCTTCCCGCCAACCCCCCCCTCTCCCCCCCCCGCCCCACCAGGCACACTATGAGGCGTCGTGTGCGGCGCTGCTGCACCTGCTGGCGTTCAGCGCGCCACCAGCGCTGGCGTCGCTGCGGCAGGCAGCGGTGCGCGTGTGTGCGCGCATGGCCACTGTGGGGGGGCGGTGGTGGCGGGAGAGTGTCACGGGGGCCATGCTGCTCGCCCTCTCCGCCTATGTTGATGCCCCCGGTGAGGCCAGTGTCGGGAGGTTGGGCCAGCTGGGACAGGGTGTGGGAGGTGTGGGAGGGGTGGGAGGGGTGGGGGGTGTGGGAGGGGTGAGGGGTGTGGGGTGTGTGGGGGGTGTGGGAGGTGTGGGGGTTGTGGGGGGTGTGGGAGGTGTGGGGGTTGTGGGGGTGTGGGAGTGGTGGGGGGTGTGGGGGATGTGGGGGTGTGCGAGGTGTGGGGGATGTGGGGGTGTGGGGGTGTGGGAGGTGTGGGGGATGTGGGGATGTGGGGGTGTGGGAGGTGTGGGGGATGTGGGGATGTGGGGGTGTGGGAGGTGTGGGGGATGTGGGGATGTGGGGGTGTGGGAGGTGTGGGGGATGTGGGGGTGTGGGAGGTGTGGGGGATGTGGGGGTGTGGGAGGTGTGGGGGATGTGGGGGTGTGGGAGGTGTGGGGGATGTGGGGGTGTGGGAGGTGTGGGGGATGTGGGGGTGTGGGAGGTGCCACGTGGATTAGAGCATCGGTGAGGCAATCCACGCGGCAAGGCTGTTCCGGGTGGGGTGATGGCTGGCTGGCTGGAGAGGTGGTGGTTGTCGTGCTGCGGTGCTGCAGGGCACACATGGCTGCGCTCTGCTGCTGCTGTGATGCACCGTGCGTGTGCTCTGCTCTGCTCTGCTCTGCTCTGCTGTGCGCACAGAAATGCATGTGCTGTGCTCCCTCGCTGCTCTGCTCTGCGTGCTGTCCCTTGACGCCACTGCTGTGCTGTGTTTCAAGCACCCCGCCCCGCCGGCACAGCCCCTTGAAGCCCTCTCTCTCTGTTCCTTACTGCCCTGCCCCATACACCGCCCCGTGTGAAGCCCCCTGCTTCCCCACCGCCTGCTCACATCCTTCAACTCAACATGCTCTGCGCCCTCTCCTCCCCTCCTTGTCTGCGCCGCCCTACCCTGGGTGCCCCGTGTGTGTGCTGCGTGTGCCCTTTGCACCCGCCACCCACCTACGCCATCACCAGACGACCACGTGGTGCTGGACGCCTGCACTGCCCTCGCTGCCTCCCTCCTCGCCCTGCCTCCACACTCCCTCTCCCGCCCACTCCGCCACGCCCCCATTCCCGCCCTCCCCCCTTCCCTCCTCGCACCCCCTCCCACTGTGCTCCGTTCTCCCCCCTCGTCCACCTCGCCCCTCGTCCCGCCGCTCGCCACCCTCACCGCCCCCTTGCTCGCCGCGCTGTGGCGCCTCCACCTGTCACGCTCCGCGCCTGCTCTCAGCAGTCATGGCACGCAGGCCAGCACGGGTAGCACGGGTAGCATGGGCAGCAAAGGCAGCAAGGGCAGGGATGGTGGAGGGAAGAGTAGGGGAGGCGTGGTGGCGCGGGCTGCTGAGTGGCTGTGGGGGGCAACAGGTGCGGGGGATGCGAGGGTCGTGGGAGGGGAAGCGGTGATGGGTGTGGGGGAAAGGGAAGGTGGCATGGGCGGGGGAGAGATGCATGCTCACACCAGTGCTGCTTCTTGTGGTAAGGAGGCGTGTGGAGGAGTGGCAGGAGCGGATGGAGGGTCAAGGGCGCAGAGCAGCACGTGCAGTAGCGCACACACAGATATCACCAGCCAAGGCAGCAGCAACAGCAGCAGTAATGGCGACGAGCCTATTGCCCCGTGGCAGGGCAGGCAGGCAGCAGCGGTGGCAGCAGTGCTGCACGTGCTTCTGCTGCTGGTGCAGCGCTGCCCGGCAGGTGGCAGGGAGGTGAAAAGGGAGCTGCTGCGCAGGCCAACACAGCTGTCAGGTGGCAGGGGGCGCATGGCGCAGCTGGTGGTCATGGCCCTGCCGCTGCCGCATGGGGCACACATGGATGGTTCTGCTGCTGCTGTTTCGGAAGCAGCGTTGAGCCTTCTCAATGCCATGGGTGAGTGGGCCATGCGTCTGCTTTCTATTCTTATGCTGTCTGTATTTGTTTCTAGGTGAAATGGATTGACGTGGGTGCACCCCATGTGCATGTAGGCATGATTGAGCAAATGTCTTACTTGTCGAGTACCACCATGATCTCTACTCAACTCATAATCTCTCTGCACCACACCACCCCCCTTTCCTCGCAGCGCAGGACCCCTCCATGTGCCACCTGCTGCTGCACCCGACCTTCCGCCTCCTCCCTTCTCTCACCCGCCACCTCTCACCCGTGCCCTCCTCACATTCCTCCTCCACCTCCTGCCTCATCACCTGTCCTGCCTGCCGTCAAGCCGCCCTCTCGCTTCTGCAAGCGCTCGCTGTACAATCCTTCCTAACATGCACCTTCCTTTGCCATGCACGCCCCTCGGTGACTCAGCCTTGCTGTCGGGGCCATCCAGCATTTGTCCCATGGATGCATGCTGCTCCCGCCCCACCCCTTTTCCCTCAAACGCTCCTTCGTGTTTTGTGAGAGATTCAGTCATGCAAGTATAAGGGGTAAGATTACATGGCAACCCGCTCCGTCTCTCTGTCCCTCACCCTTACCCCCTGATTCCTCTTCATACCCCATCACATGTGTGCAGAGCCACCCATCGTTCGCTGCTGCCACTCGATGCACGACACCCTCCGCCACCACTGCAGCATCACCTCTCACCCTCCTCCTCACCTTTGCCCTGCAAGCAGCCCACACACCCCTCCCCCTGACCCCCTGCCACTGCCCCCACCCGCCCTCCCTCCGCCTCATCTCATCCTCCTCTTCGCCCGCCACCTCAGCACGTGATGACTCAGCAGCCAGCCACGTGGCAGCATCTGCCTGGCAGACCGCAGCGAGCCTCCTGCGCTGGCCGGGCGGCCATCATGACCCGGCTGTACTGCGGGCGGCGGGCTTGTCTGCATCTGCGTTGATGCATGCACTGCTGGGTGGCGGGGTGGATGGACGGCCAGGATGCTCCCAGAACAGCAGTGAAGAGCAGATGGGAAATGGGGGAGGTGATGGCAGGGCGGGTGGAGGGAAGGAGCAGGTGGGAGGGTCGCAGGTCGTCATGGCTGCAGCGTGGGAGGCGGTGAGGTGGAGGGCAGCATTCTGCCACGTGGCAGTGTGTGATTCGGGGGATGGTGTGACTCTAGTGAAGGCGAAGGAGGCTGGAAGGGTGTGGGGGAAGGCAGGCGAGAGCGTGGAGAGCAGGGGAGGTGCGGGCAGTGGCGGCGGTGGGGGGCGAGGACGGGGAGGGAGGGCAGGGGGAGCGGATGGGCATGCAGGCATGGAGGCGGTAGCAGCATTGGCATGGTGAGCGGCCAGGGGCATGGGCATCAAGCGATGGGGGTGTGATGGGCGTGCATGCGGTGCGGTACTGAGTGCAGTGTGGGTGGCAGAGGCATGTGTGGGCGGGTCGGTGGGCCCATGGTTTTGCTGCATGTGTATGCCTGCACTTGCTTTTCATGCCACGTGCCCATGGCGCTTGCCTGCTTGTCCACCCCATCCACTCCATCCACTCCATCCACCCCATCCACCCCATCCACCCCATCCACCCCATCCACCCCATCCACTCCATCCACCCCATCCACTCCATCCACCCCATCCACCCCATCCACCCCATCCACCCCATCCACTCCATCCACCCCATCCACCCCATCCACCTCTGAGACCTCACCAGTGCGGTGTGCATCACATTCTTCCGTTGCACCATCTTGTTCATCAAACTCATCTGTCTCCACACGGCCTGCTGCCACCATTCACTTTCCATTGCCCCTTCGTTCCCCCCACCCCTCTCCCACCGTTACTGCAGCGCTCACCTCCTCACGCTGCTCACTCCCTCCTCTCACGCCACGTCCTGCCCTGCTGCTGCCAGCGCCTCACCATCGCCCGCACCCATCACCCCCCTCCACCCCTCCACGGCACACGCCCTGCTCTCCGCGCTGCTCGCGCTGCTCTCCTCGCCCTGTCCCGCCCTCGCCTCTCTCTCCCGCACCGCCCTCTCTCAAGCACTCTCACCACCCTCCCTCTGCCCTCCCGTGTCATGTGAGGCGCGCGCCGCAGGGGAGGGCAGGAGGGAGGTTGGTGAGCGTGCAGCAAGCGGTGGTGCGCCTGGTACCCACCACGGTGACCGTATGGCGGCAGGAGATGCAGGTAGCAGCAGCACCAGCGGCAGCAGTAGCAGCAGCAGCAGTGGGGGATGCACCCCAGAGGGCAGGTCATGGGAGGGCGGGCACGAGCCCAGCATGAGGGCCCTCGCAGCCTCTGCAGTGCGCCAGGCCGCCCTAGCTTGCCGCCTCTGCTCGCGCCCACCCACTCGTCACTCCTCTACACCACTGCTCACCACTGACACGCCACGGCAGGAGGTGGAAGCTGCGACGAAGCTGCTGCTGGTGGCAGCGCTGGCGTGTGACGGGCGGGGAGGGGAGGCGGTGCAGGCAGAGGGGGGCGTGCCGGCCGTGGGACTGGTGGTGGCGGCCCGCGTGGCCCTGTGGACCAAGGGGGGCGCAGGGGAGGGGGACGGGCAGGAGGAGGGGGAGCGGGAAAAAGGGGAGGTGAGGAGGTGGGGTGATGATGGGAGGAGGGGCGAGGGCCGAGGAAGGTTGGGGGAAGGCGAGGGGTGGGCAGGTGGAGGGAGAGAGGAGGGTGCAGGGGAGGATGAGTGGGGATGGGATGAGGGGAATGAGGTGTGGTGGGGGGAGGGAGAGCTAGAGGGGGAGGAGGACGAGGTGGTGGGAGTGACGGGGGGCGGGGGAGGCAGCGAGGGCAGTGAGGAAGAGGATGCTGGCGTCATGCTGCTGGCTGATGAGAGGCCCAACATTCCACATGCGCCATACAGTGCTGACATCACAGCATGGCAAGGCTCTGACATTATCCTGTTCTCTGCCCTCACAACCCTTCTCGCCCTCCTGCACCCCGCACCACCATTACCATCCCACCCGCCTCCCTCAGAGCCATTCTCACCCGCCCCCCATTGCGTCATTCTCCCTGACAGCCTCATCCCCTCGCTCACTCGTCTCCTCCATCCCGCATCGCCTGCCGGTCTGCGCTGCCTTGCTGCCCGATGCATCTCGCTTTGCCACTCCCTGCCCCACCCTCCCCCACCCTCCGCTGCACTGCCTGCTGCTGCCAAACAGCCCTCTCAGCAGCAGCCCTCTCATCGCCCTCCGTCTCACCACGCGCCCGCCACACACAGTGAGACACCCCCCCTGGGAGTGCCCTCTGCTGTCGCCCGTGACATCCGCTCTGCTCTCACCTGCCTCTCCCCTTCCTCCTCGTCCGCCTCCTCTCCCATTCATGCATCACACACTCACTTCACCCGGCTCTCGACCTCCCCTGCAAGCCCCAAGGCGCAAGTGGCGTTCGTCCTCACGCACCCCTCTGCACCCACCTCCACCGCTGCCGCCTCCCCACTGCGAGTGGTGGCACATGCAGCAATCATCGCTGCCCGCTGCCCCGCCCTCCTCTCGCCCCTCACCGCGCCCTCTGCCCCTGCCCGCGCCTCCATCGCTGGGCACCCTCATAGCAACCGCTCTCTTCTCGATAAGGGAAAGGATGAGGGGGTGAGTGGCCAAGGCATGGCAAGGGGGGGAGGGGAGGGGGCGGAGGGAGAGGGGGGGGTGGTGAGGGAGGTGCGGCTGGGGAAGGGTGTGAGTGGCGAGACGTTCAGTCAGCTCTTGGAGTATATTTACACGGGACAGGTGTCGCTCTCTCATTCGCTGTCCAAGGATCTGCTGCAGCTGGCTAAGAAGTGCCGCTTGGATGGGTTCGTTGCACTCCTCCGCTGTGATTGGCCGATCTGGGGCCGCGATGATGCGATGGGGTGTGATCTGACGTCAGCACTTGGTCCAGCTGGGCTGCCTTGGAGGTGAGGCACGGCATTCATGGGGCATGGCAGCATGGGGCATGGCAGCATGGGGCATGACAGTCATGGGGCATGGCAGCATGGGGCATGGCAGCATGGGGCATGGCAGTCATGGGGCATGGCAGCATGGGGCATGGCAGCATGGGGCATGGCAGTATGGGGCATGGCAGCATGGGGCATGGCAGTATGGGGCATGGCAGCATGGGGCATGGCAGTATGGGGCATGGCAGTATGGGGCATGGCAGTATGGGGCATGGCAGTATGGGGCATGGCAGTATGGGGCATGGCAGTATGGGGCATGGCAGTATGGGGCATGGCAGTATGGGGCATGGCAGTATGGGGCATGAGCATGTGGCATGGCAGGCAGCATGGGGCATGGCAGTTTGTACTGGTAGTCATTGCCCCTTTCCTCTGTCCATCAACCCTCCCAACCTGAATCATTCGTCATCACTTCATTAGTCTCAGCGCCGTGCCTCACCATCTCATCTCACCACCTCGTCTCTCCCCTGCCTCCCTCTGTGCCTGCCCCCACACATGCCCCTATCCCCACAGCGACATTGTGCTCTGTGTGCCGTGCGCCCGCCATGCTCCCCTCTCCCCCGCGCACCAACCGCCTGCAAGCCCCAGCAGCAGTGGGGAAGAGGCGCAGCATGAGGCGTGCGGGGGGCCTGACGGGGAGGGCAGTGGGGAGGGGGGGGGCGGGCAGGGGGGTGTGTGGCGGTGCGTGCGGGTGGCGGCGCACCGCTGTGTGCTGGGGGCGCGCAGCCAGTACCTGCACGCGCTGCTGCACTGCGGCATGCGCGAGAGGTGGGGGGTGGGGGCGAGTCGGGGGTTGGGAAGTAAGAGGTTTTGGGGGAGGGAGATGGGGGGGAGTGGGGTAAATGAAAGGGGGGAGAGGGGGGAATGAGGGGAGGCGATGGAAGGGAGTGAGGGGGGTGATCAATGGGAGGGCTGAGGGGGTTGGAGTGATGCTCTCTGTGCACGAGTCCATCGTCATGTATCAATTTGCTCTTGACTCTTTTGATTTGCGCTGCTTGATCTCCCCTTCCCCCCTCTATCTGTGTGCGCCGTGCCTGCCGTGCAGCTCTCAGCACGAGGTGCATCTGCCACCGCTGCCCCTACCAGCGCTCATCGCTCTCCTGCGCTTCCTCTACTCCGCCCGCGTCTCCTTCCTCCCCCTCCCCCTCTCTTCCCATGCCGCCCTCACACCCACCAACCTCAATCACCCAACCCCCACCACTGCTGCTGCGAGCCCTAGCTGGCATCACAGCGCCCCTGTGTCGCTCTCCTCTGTGCGCCTGCCCCCGCTCTCGCTCACCACGCGCCTGCTCTCTGCAGTGCACCTCGCATCGCTCGCCCACCAGTGGATGCTGCCCGCGCTGCACCATGCTGCCTTGTGCTACGTGGCAGCACGCCTGCGTGCCACCTGGCATGACCCAGTCAGCGGAGGGCCCTGTGAGAGTGCTGTTGACTGCACCGATGGCAGCAGCACGGGCAGCAGCACCACCACTGGCACGGATTGGGCCCCGGAAGTCCCAGTGGCACCATGGGCAGCAGCGGAGGCGGTGGTGTGGGCGGCATGGGCGGCGGGGCAGTGGGAGATGGTGGGGGAGGCGGTGAGCAGCCTGGCGCCATGGTACCCCGCCATGCGCCGCACTGCCTGCCTGCACCGCCTGCCAGCGCAGGTGCAGAGCGCTGTCAGGGAGGCGCACGTGCGCTTGCTCACCGCACGCCCTTGACGCTTCCTGCCTGCCAAGCAACTTGCTTACTTGCACCCTTTCAAGCTGGCTCATACGCGTCTCGTTCAAACGGGCCGGGGAATATGGTGGGCGGGCGGCGCTGCTGAACACACGGCAGGGTGGTGGAGGAAAGTCTGTGGGGGGGGTGGTTTCTTGAGTGGGGAGCTCAGCAAAGGATTAGGTGAGGAAGGAAGATAACGTAGGTCGAATGTTAGCTGCATCACCGCACCAGTTCCATGTGGTGCACCGTGAGTTCATGCCTTTACAGCAGATGGCCTACTGGGATATTTTTAAAGCCTTATGAATGTGCTGTTGCAACTTGGATGGAGAGTGTAACCAGATATTTTTTGCAAGGCTGCATTATGGCAGCAGGGGTGGCATCATGTCATGGTTCGAGCCATGAAAGCACATCAGGAAATCAGCCCTGACTTCAATCCAGCGTACAGGAGAAAATTACTGATGTATCTTTGGAAAATTGATTACCTTACCTAAAGACTTAGGTGGCCCTCAATAAGATGTATATGAATGTGTGAGAGGTCTCAATGAATTTAATCATTTTACAAAGATGTACAGAATTCTCCGTGGTCGTGCTCTGGGTTGCATACCCAGAGGTAATATCGGGTTGGATCACCCGTTTTTAGTTTCTTCACATTTCCTCCTGAGAAAGCTCGTCCCGAGTATATTACGATTGACTGGGGGGAAACGGAACCACACGCATCCGTTGTGCGCCTCGAAGGTGTCGACGGACGGAGCGAGTATGTACAGCTGCGTGCACTGGCGCGTCGAGAGGGGACAGGATCGGAAAACACGGGCAGCGCAGGCGGCTTCACCACTCGTCGTCGCCGCCATTCCAGCGCTGCTCGCACGACGCCCACCGCGTCAGGCGGTTAGCGGCCATCGCTTGCCTTCTGGCGCCGCGACCGCTATTGCTGCTGCTGCGGCGGTGGCTGCGCGACACTCTCTGAGTGCCCATTTCCAGCGGCTCTGATTGAACGCGAGGGATGTCCCCGCGCCCCGCTGCCGTTGCTTGGATGTGACTGTAGCGAGACGCCATTCTCCTTCCTCTGCCCGACTCCCAGTCGCCTCTCAACTCGTCGCCACCGCTCTCCCCCTCGCTCACAAACGACTGTAACATGGTAACAAACTGTTCGCAGCGGATCGCATTGAGTTCGCGCTGCGCGTCGAGCAGCGAGAGCCGGCCTTCCAGCGCGAGCAGATCGAAATCCGCGCGGCTGTCGTGCACGCGGCGCGAGAAAGGAACCTGGTCCGTGTGACACGTGGCGAGCACAGCCCGCGAAAGTCGGGAGGAGACGTCGAGGTTTGGTAGAATGATCTTGCTCGTCGCCATTTTCTATATGCGCGTTTCAACCAGCTGTAGTAAGCACCGAGTGCGGAGGGAGGTAGCTGTTAACGTACGGTGGAAAGAAACTCAAGTGACACTTGAACGCTTGAAGGAGGATAGAACGGAGGTAGACTGAGGATTGGGCTGAAGCCCGCAGCTTTATCGCCATGGGCACCGCCGTGATACCCGGCGTCTCAGTCTCACTCGCTCAGCGTGAGGGGATGGGATAGAGCGGAAGTCAAGGGCGGATAAGCATTAAAGGTACCCTGACATGGCACAGCCTGGCGCACTGCAGCGCCTCACTTAACCTCGCCATGGTTCTGCTTAGAGGATCTCATACAGTAGATTGCACATCGAGCCTGTCGGTTGGAGCAGCCTTCCTGGATTAAGCTGAAGGGAGCACCCGTCTATGCGTGGATGCGAGGATGGGCCAATGAACGACTTCGCAGGGCTTGTATCTTCCGCGTGAGCGTTATTCCTGACGTCACCTTTCTCTGTACATCATTCCGCTCTTAATTACCCGCCAGCTAACTGGAATTAACGCAAGAGAGAAATAGTACCGGCCTCGGTCGGACAGGGCGTCCCAATACACTTCTTGCACCTGCTCTGTAATCCGCGCACCGTCATACAGCTGTTTGCACCTACTCTGTACAGCGCGTTCTGCGCTTTCCACCCTTTCGTGGCACAATCCGTCCCATCGCCTAGCACCGTTGAATGCGGATGGCGCGCCATGGGACGAATGGAGTCTGAAGAGGGGCGAAGGGAGTTGAGAGGCTCGGATCGACTTCATGCCGTGGCGTGGACGACTTGTGGTCGATGGAGCTAATGAGCAGATCACAACAGATCTCCATCTATGTACGTCGTTACTGTACAACACGTTGTGGTCTTCGCCGAGACCCAGCCTTCAGATTATGGGGTGAAAGGAGACGGCCTTGCTGGCAGGGTACTGAACGTGACCGAGACGGTTACTATGTTCCATAAAATTTCGGACTTGACGTCGCTGGGCAAGTCAGTGGCCACACGATTTTCACTACAGAAAGGGGAGCACAAAAGCCACTGAGAGCCTCGTCTAATAGTTAACCTGTTCATAATTTCTGACAAAATGCACTCGCACAGCGAAGAAAAGGGTCTACGCCGCACAGACACTGGACCCGATTGCGTCGGCCATTGCTTCCACTCACAACCACGACCACGAATTGACCCCCCTGCAGAAACACGAAGCCCCAGCGACAGTGCTGTGGCGTAGGAACAAGGTGGATCGTCGTCCCTCAAGCCCAGGAAAAGAGGGGAGCATTTCCCTACAACAGTTGTCCAAGTAATTTTGATGGCTGCAATTCGTCTATCGAAGTCTCAACCCAAATCCGATCGCATCGCACCCATTCGGGTCGGGTTACCTCGTGCCAGCCAGTCTGCTAGGAGAATTTCCGGATATCCTTACCGCGCACCTCAGCAACGCGTACAACGCGTACAATGTTCTTCGCCTGTTGCACCCAAACGGTGTTCGGCACTTAGCACGTCATTATTTACTAAAACACACTCCTGGACTTGGTTGGGTCGGCCTATGCTTCATGCCTGAGTCTTGCTGCCAGCATCGCACTAGCTAGCTGACAAGCGCGCGCTTTCATTTGATAAATGTTCTCTCATGCCTTCGCTCACATTGTACGCGTTTGACTCTTTAGTGCAATCATCGCACGCTTATTTAATCGCGCCCGTAACACGTGGCTATCGGAGCCACTTTCCGGTCCGGACCGCACATTTTCCCGCAACCATAACTTTTTTTTTTTTTTTTTTCACTAGAAGACGCAGACGCCCCCTACTATTAGCAGCTGCCCTCGTGCTCTCTCTCAAGTACGTGCGGTCATGATCGCGCCTATCACCTAGGACGGCCGACGTCCTGAGATACCGTATTTAGCCTCGCCGACCTCGCACAGGAGCGCATGGACGAAATCATGCAGCAACGGCAAGACAGCGCACTGGAAATCACCAAGCTGAAGGCAAAACGGGAAATTCTCCAGCACGCATCCAATCCTGCACCAACACAAGCGCCACAAGCCGTCGTTGACTGCGACATTGTCGTCCCGACTCAAGTGCGTGGGACAGCGCTCGACTACGGCGAGTGATCGCACCGCTCGTAAAGAATCATGCGGCGTACACGGTACGATCGAAGGGACGTCTTGGCGGAATCAGCGTGTGGGGATCGCCGTCGCGTTAGTATCACGGTCGAAATTGACGACTCAACGATTGCGTTTCCCATGCCGCTCAAGCCCCAGCGTCCCCCGTGCTTTGACCCGAGCCAAAAAATGTGGTCCGACGGGTCAATCATGGATCTTCACGATGAACCTATTTTTTTGCGCCAACTACCTTACGTCGGAAGTAGCAAAATTCGCTACGTCGTGTCGTTACTGAGCAGACCCGCCATGGATCTACGGCTGTGATGTATGCCGATGTTGACTATAGTGCTGCAGGATCTGTTTGCTCGCGTAATCATATCCTAAGATCCTTGCCTATTGCTAGTGTATGTGCTCATGCTTCTAGTCCATGTGCTTGTGTAGATACTAGCCCAGACATACTCGCGGCTGACGCTTCGCTCTCCTTCACGCTGGACTCTTGTACCGTCACCCCCCCCTGATAGAAGCGCCCCCGGGGGTATAAAAAAACACTGTTTTTTAGGGGGTGCGCTTATAATCGAGGATTTTTATAAGTGCCAGCGCTTATATAATGACATTTATGAAATGCGTATTTCTTACACCAAATTGTAGATCAAGTTCTTGCAATTTGAATCGAGTCGAAACTATACAGGCTGGAATTGAGAATCTCGCACAAGTTGGCAGGGAATGATTCACTACCAACACACAGAGTTATAATGAGTCAACTTATGCCGCTGACAACTCATTCTGACTGGACGCGCATGCAATGAGCCGAGCGAGCTGAAGGGGGAAACGGAAATGTGAGTTTCGTTACAACGATTTCAGTACAATTATAACAAAAACAAGCAGAGGGTGGCGCTTATAATGCGTAAGCCTTCAAGGGTGAGCTTGTTATCGAGGACTGGATATAAGTGACGTCATCCTTTTATAAGCGCCGGCGCTTATCCGAGGCCTGCGCTTATATCCGGGGGCTTACGGTACGTCTCAGTGCTTCTTCCGTTGCCACACGATTGTCATACCGCTTCCTGCTCCGGTTCCGGTTGCGCTGGCTGATCCTACTTGAGGACCAGCAGTTGCCTGCAGCTCTACCACTCTCCCGTGCCCGGCTGTCCCCTTTTGTGTCCTCACTGGTTTCCACATCCCCTCGTTCTCCAGGAACTTGGTCGGTGCTGGACCCCTTCAGGACCTCGGTGTTGGCTCTTGGTTTACGCAGCACGAGCGTGTTGTGACCCGCTTGGACGATGCCAGTGGGACTACTCTGGCTACGTTTCGTGGCGAGCCCCGCTTGGATCTCTTCACACTGCACACCGCGTCTCCCCAGGTAGCTGCGTCCGGTCAGATAGCTGCGTGTTGTCAGGTTGATGCGTCGTGCTCCGGTCGGGCGCTCACCCACCCAAAAGTCATGTGGCACCACCGTCTTGGTCACCCGTCCCTCGTCCTACCCCGACACATATCTAGTAAGCGTCTTGCCTCAAGACTCCCGCACGTGTTTGCATCGCTCCCTCCTTCCCCTGCGCCGCCGTGCACTCCTTGCGTCGAGGGTTGACTGCACGCCACTCCTCACTCCTCCCTTCGCTCGGCCACCACGCCCTTCCAGACTCTTCACTTGGACGTCTGGGGCCCCGCCCCTTGCCCTGGGCCTGAGAGGGAGAACTTCTTCCCGGTGGTCGTTAACAACTTCTCTCGCTACACCACCGTGTTCCCCCTGCGGAAGAAGTGCAGCGTAACTTCTACCCTGATCTGGTAGTTGCTGGCCACTAGTGCCACGCGTACTAGTCATGTCCTGAGTCTCCACTCCGACCGCGGGATTGAGTTTCACTCCGAGGTGCTTGCCGGGTTCTGTAGCGAGCATATCATCCCTCAGTCCTGGAAGCTTTCGCAGTCCCCACAGCAGAATGGGGTTGCTGAGCGCCGCATTGGCTTGGTCATGGAGATCGCCTACGCCTCCATGATCCATGCCCATGCGCCCCATTTTCTGTGGACCAATGCGGTTCGCTGCGTCGCCCACCAGCTGAACCTCTGGCCTCATGTCTCACGGCCATAGGCTTCACCGACCAGTCTTTGGACCAGGTCCCTCGGTGTTGCGTCGGAGTTTCGTGCTGGGGCTGCGTTGCGCAGGTCCACGATACCTCTACGGATAAGCTCTCGGCTTGTACCCTTCCCTATGTCTTCCTTGGTTTCCTTGTGGATGCCCCGGAATTCGAGTTTTACCACACGCCCCTCCACTGGTTCCTCGACTCATGTGACATCCGCTTTGACGAGTTTGTATCCTACTACGCCCAGTTCCCCCTCCGAGGTCTCCCTGTTCCTCTCCCCTCCCCCCCTCTCCTTTCTAGCTCCCACTCCTTCTCCTGCTCCTGCTCCTCCGGTACACCCTCTCCCTCCCGTTCCTGCCTCAGGTGTGTCTCACGCTTCCCCTCTCCCCTAGGTAGCATGTCAGGTGTCGTCTCCTTCTCCACAGTCGTCCTTATAGTGACCGCATCAGCCTTTGGCACTACCATGACATGTTGAAGTAGACTCTGGGGGTGTTGGTGCAGGAGGCACGGGCGCTGGAGGTGCTGGTTTTGAGGGTGTTGGAGCTTAGGGTGGCACTGGAGGGGCTAGTTCCGAGGGGGTTGGAGCTGGAGGCACTACTACTGAGGCATCTACTCCGCCTCACCATCACTATCCGACGCGTCACCAGGCTCTTCGTCGGCTTGAGCCCGAGAAGTAGGAGAGGTTGGCGAATGAGAGGCTGGAGCTGGATCAGCAGCAGCAAGAGATGCAGTAGCAGCAAAAGTGATGGTTGTAACGTCTGCTGCTGTAGCCGCTGCTGCTGCTGCTGCTGCTACTGCTGCTGCAGCTGTTCCCACCTATGAATGGCCTTTGGGCCCTTGGTCTCCCTTCCTCCCCTCCGGACTGCTCGATGCCTCCTAGTGCTCACGGTCTTCCTCCTCTAGACTCGTACCCGATTGTTTCTCTCCTCCTCAGTCATTATAGCCTTCTCCTGTTGTCCTGCACACGTGGGCCACTCGTTGTCCTCCTTGCTGCACGTCGTTGTTGCCGTCGCCCAAGTCGGCCAAGCGCACTTGGCCGATGGCGACGGAGCACCGGTTCAAGGCCGGATAGTGCAGCGCCTTCGTCAGGAAGTCGGCCGGCTGCTCAGCGGTCGGGATGTACTTCAACGAAAACTTCCTGCGCTTCACCATGTGCTGCAGCCAGGCTTGTCGCCGCTCCATGTGCTTGAGGTTGCCTGTCAACCCCATGCCCTCGGCGACCGTGATGGCCGACTTGTTGTCCACCCGAAGGACAGTCGGCTTTCCGTCATCCAGCTGCCGGAACTCTGCCAGGAGGAAGCGAAGGTGGCGTCCCTCCTTTCCGGCTTCGGTGGCCGCCACGTACTCCGACTCGGTCGACGACAACGTCGTGCACTTGATGCGCTGGCTCGACCAGGAGACTGCGGCCCCTCCGTAGACGAATACATAGCCGCTCATGCTCGTCCGGTTCTGCTTATCACCGGCGTCGTCGGCATCCACGTAGCCGACCAGCTCCAGCGATTCTGGTCCACCGCCGAACTCCAGGGCGGTGTCACGCGTGTTGGCGAGGTAGGCGAGGCAGCGGTCGACCTCGCGCCAGTGCTGGTCACTCCTCACCGTGAGGCCGCTCCCCAGCTTGCTGCAGGCAAAGACGATGTCCGGCCTCGTTGTCGTCGCCGCGAACTGCAGCGAGCCAACCTTCTGCCGGTACTCCTCCTCCTATTGCTCCTATGCCTCATCGTTGTCGAGGGTGAGCTCGGCGTAGGCGTCGACCGAGACCGGCGTCTTCGGAGTGCGCCCGGTCTGCTCCTCGTCGATGAAGCGCCTACGCAGCTTGTCGGCGTAGCCCTGCTGGTGCAGCCACAGCTTCCCCGCCGACCAGTCGCGGACGATCTCCAGCCCGAGGTACTTCTGCACCGGCGAGATCTCACGCAGCTCGAAGGCGGACTCCAGTAGCCCCTTCAGCTTCTTCAGCATCTCGGTGCTACTGCTGGCGGCGAGCAGGTCGTCGACGTAGACCAGCACCCAGCAGGCCACTCCGTCGTCGCTGACCTTGAAGTACAGAGCCTCGTCGACCTGGCTCTTCTTCCACCCGGCGCCGACCAGCACGTCGTTGAGCGCCAAGTACCACAGCAGCGGCGACTGCTTCAGCCCGTACAGGCTCTTCAGCAGCTTGCACACCCGGCCGGTTCCGTCGTTGAAGTAGTCCGGCTGGGACATGTACAGCACCCGGTCGAGCTTGCTCTACAGGAAGGCGTTCTTCATGTCGAGCTGCATCAGGTTGAGGTTGAGGACGGCGACGATGCCGAGGAAGATCCTCAACGTGACGTAGCTGCCCACCGGCGCGAACGTCTCGTCGTAGTCGGCGCCATACACCTGGGTGAAGCCCTTCACGACCAGCCTCGCCTTCTCGCGCTCGACGGTGTCGTCGACGTGGTACTTCGTCATCGACACCCACCGGTTCTTCATGATGTTCACTCCTGGTGGGCGTTCGACCAGCTCCCAAGTGCCCATGTTGATGAGGCAGCGGATCTCCTCCTCCATGGCGGCCTTCACCGTCGGGCCCTTCCAACTCGCCAACGCCTCCTTCACCGTCATAGTCGAGATATCCCAACGGTGCTCGGGGTCGGCATGCATGTCGGGGTCGAGCTCCGGAAGCTCCTCATCCTCCTCGGCGTCGTCATACGCCATTTCGTCGTCGTCCACATCGTACACCGTGGAGAAGGCAGCGGGGATGAAGAAGTCGGGTGGCCTCCGAAGTCGGCCTGACTTCCAGGGTTGAGGCTGAACCTCCACCACGTCGCTCTTGGTGGACTCCTCGGCGTCCCCTTCTTCGTCACCGGCTTCGCTGCCCTCGTCGGCCTGCTGGACCTCGGTTGACTTCCTGGCCGACTTCTCCCCTTTGCTCGGCTCCTCTGCCGACTGCCTGGTTGCCGACTGCTCCAGGGTCGGCTTCACCGCTGCCTGCTCCCTTGTCGGCTGCTGCCCTGCTGCCTTCTTCGTCGGCTTTACCCAAGTCGGCTGCTCCTCCTCGACCTGCTCCTCCCCTACCAACGTCGACTTCACTCCCACGTCGACTTGCCGCTCGTCACGTTGGCCACCGGCGATGCCCTTGGCCGGCGCTGAAGGCGACGTCCCACTACTCCCCTCATCGCCGGAGGCCGACACAGGAGTCAGCCCGCGCAGGTCGGCCACGAGGGGAGGGGAAGGGGAAGGAGGACGGACGACCTCTGCGTCCTCATTAGCAAGCTCACCGACCTCGGCGAGCAGAGGCAGCGTCGCCGTTGAGGTGTCAGTCGGCGGGGTAGTCGGCGTCCGTCCGGACACCGGCCCGTGCTCCGACTTCCACACTTCCAGCGACATATCCTCGTAGAACACCACGTCCGACGTGTGTTAGAATACTCATATTCTTTGTATCATGCATAGACTAGCAAGACTTGGTTAGATGTAAGCACCCAAGTTTATCTTGGGTGTAGAACTAGGGTTTGCCCTAGTTGAGGGGTTGGGGTCAATCCAACCTTGGTCCAATATTGTGACCCCCCAATAATTGGGCTCCCCATTATTGGAGGTTCAGTAATTGTGGCCCTCCCTACCACAATTATTGACCCCTCCAATAATTGGTGACCCCAACTTATTGGTGGGGGCCAATAATTGTGGCAAGGCCCCCAACTCAACTCATCCCTCTTCCTCAACTATGTAAACTCCCTTGTTCCTTAATGAAACCATCATTCAGATTTCTCACATGGTATTCAGAGCTTCTAAGGCTCACGCCACACGATCCTTAACTCAAATTTAGTACGAATTTCACGACCTAGTAGCCCGCATTTCCGCGCAAACCACTACCCCCCTCCACGTGATCACTCCGACGGTCACCACGGCTCCTCCGCCTATTTCCGCACGCCGTCGTCGCTATCCGCGACGTTCGCGCATCGCTGCCACGCCCTTCGCCGGCAGCCCCCCTCCTCAATTTCGCGCGCTATCACCTCCGACGGCAGCACCAAGCACTACTGCCGTCCTCCCCCGTCATCCGCGCGCCCCTGCTTCCACGCGCGCCACCGGCGCCAGACCCTTCCCTCCTCACGGCGCATCGCCGCCACCGTTCGTGACGACCCCGCCACCTGCGATCGTCACCTGCGCGCACGCCCTTCGCGTTGCTCTCCGCGTCCCTGCCGTTCGCGACGCTCGCAGCGGCTCCTCCCCTCGACATTGCGCGCTGCTGGTGCTGTCCGCGCTAGCCCCGTCACTGGCACCGCTTGCCCCCACTGGTCGCCTTCCGCGTCGACCCCCGCGACCGTCGCCCCCGCATCCGCGACCGTCGCCCCCCCCCATCCGCGACCGTCGCCCCCGCATCCGCGACCGTCGCCCCCGCATCCGCGACCGTCGCCTGCGCACCCGCGGCCGTCGCCCGCACTTCCGCTTCCGTACGACACGCGGCTGCCCGGGGCTGTCCCTCCTCCTGCTCCCCCGCGCCGCCGCCGATCACGACGCCCTCGGCAACAAGAGCCTTCATCCGCCACACATTCCACACGTAAGACCTGTCCCCACTCGCACCTTCCCCTCCCTGTGGCTGCTCTCTCCCATCCCGTCTCATATCCTCATCCTTCCCTCCTCCTGTGGCTGCACCCTCCCTCCTCCTGTGGCTGCACCCTCCCACCCACCTCATCTCCACGTTTTCTATCTCTTACGCCCGCCCCCATCCCTTCCTCCCCCTGTGGCTGTTCCCCTCCCCCACCTTGTCGCCATGGCTACCGATTCCTCTATTGACATCAGCTCCATAGACCGTCTTGAGCTCATTGCTGATACCACTCCGGTCAATTGGACCTCGTTCTCTGAAAGCATGCATGTCCTTCTTGGCTCCACAACACTTCACAACTACAACCTCCTTGACCTCGTGCTTGATACCCCCTTTGGAGCTGCCCCCCCTCCTCCCGTAGCACCCTCTTCCTCCCCTCCTCCTGATCTTCCCCCCCCTCCAGGACCACCTCCCTCAGCTCCACCCACACCCGCTCATCACGATGATCCTGATCGATGGGCACGCACTCTTCGTGGTTACACTCGCGACCACGCCACCTACGTCCTCGCCGATGCCGCTCATAAGGACGCTCTTGCCGCCTACGCCGCTGCTACCACTGCAACAACCGAGTATGAGCAACGGCTTACCAAATACCGGGAGGAAGACCTGAAATATAAACTCGATTCCTCCGCCTGGCGTATCGCCGACCTCAAAGCCCTCAACATCATCCTTGCATGCATTCCCACCTCCCTCAAACGAGAAATCCGCCCCACCACCTCTGCAGCTCTTTGGAAAGACCTAACCACCCGCTTTGACCGTCAAGACCTCAACTCCCTGCTTGCACTTTACCGCGAATTTCAGGCCATCGCACTTGAGACCTCTCCCAATGCTGCCACATTCACCCGCCGCCTCACTGACGCTGCTCGTCGCCTCTCTGACCGCGGCATCACAATCACCGACTCCCTCCTCATGGCCCGTATCCTTGACGGCCTCCCCACTGCCTACACCACCCACAAAATCGCATTCACTACCGCACGCACTGGCACTCCCTCCTCCTCCGATGTCATCTCTTGGCTTCTTGACGCCGAAGCTGACCTCTTTCACTCCTCCTCCCCTCTCACTGCTGCTTTTGTCCGTGGAGGAGGAGGTGGTCGTGGCGCCTCCAGCAACGGCTACAACGGGGGACGTGGTGCGGGACGCAGCGGTCGTGGTGGTGGTGGTCGCGGTGGGAGCAGTCGTGGTGGTGGTGGTGGTGGTGGCCGTGGTGCCGGCCGCAGTGGTGCATCCGGACTTGGCACTTTGTCACCGTGTCAATACCTCATTCGCTACGGCTCGCCCAAATGCCAACGCTGCCTCCAGACAACTCACGCCACTGCCACTTGCTTCAAGGCACTCACCGATGAATGGTTTGAGCGTGGTAACACTGGTACCCCCCCACGCTGGCACCTCCTCCATCCCCTTCCCACGCCCTATGATGTACGCACCTCCCCTGTCTATCAGCCCCCGTCCATCTCTCATGTCTCCCCCCACCCCTCTCCCCTTGTCCCTCCACAGTCTCACCACACGCTATACACCCCTGGCCCCCCTCCCCTTGCACCCCCTGGCTTTATCCCACCTCCCACCCCCTGGTACCCTTCCCCATTCCCCCCATACCCCTTCTACCCCCAGGCCCCTTCCCCACCCGTCCTCCCCACTAACCCACCCCAGGTGACCGAGAATCCTCCCCCCTCCCCCTCCCTTCCCCCGGGTTTTACCCCGATTCCCACTGCTGCGTTCGTAGGCCAGAGTCTTCAGCCTCCAACACCTAGTGACCCATCCATGTATGCCAATGCTATTAATACAATGTCATTCCAGTGCTCCGCGTCATCACCACCCCTTGAATTTGTTCTAGACAGTGGTGCCTCCCACACAGTCCTTCGCGACGCTGGAAAACTCATTCCGCTCCCCACTCCCTCCACTATCCTTGGTGCTGACTCCACCTTCGCCGTTCAAAGTCGTCACTCATCCACCCTTCCTTGTCCCATCTTCCCCTCTGGCACTGTCACCGGTCTCCACATCCCCTCCCTCCGTCACAACCTTATCTCCCAAGGTCTCCTTCAACACGCCGGTGTCACCACCATCTTTCCAGGTTATGCATCCCACTGTGACCTATATCGCACCACCACAGGTCGTTTTCTCACTCGCCTTCCCATGTGTCCCACCACTCGCATGTACACCTTCCGCACCCCTCGCTCCTCCGCCCCCCAGGTATTCCTCACAACCACTCCCACCCCTCCCACCCCCTCCCCCTGCTCCTGTCGAGAGCTCACTCACCCCGCCATCCTCTTACACCATCGCCTTGGCCACCCCAACTTCGCCACCCTTCGCAAAACCGTGTCATCCTCCCTCCTTAACGGTCTCCCCACCACCCTCCCCCCTCTCCCCCCCTCCCCAGCCCCACCATGCACAGTCTGCGTCAAAAGCAAGCTCAAACAGCACCATCACCCCAGTCATCCCAGCTTTTCTCCTGCTCCCCTTGACCTAGTCCATATGGACCTTTGGGGTCCCAATCCTTCCCCCTCCCGACAGGGACATCGCTATCTCCTCATCCTTGTGGATGATCACAGCCGAAACTCCTCGGTTTCACTCCTACGCACTAAGGCTGAAGCCCCTGCTGCCATAATTGCATGGGCCACTCAAGCCGCCACCCACTTTAAACGACCCATCCGCCGTCTACACTCAGATGGCGGTGGTGAGTTTCTCAATCACGCACTTTCCTCCTACTGCACTACCCATGGCATTCGCCACACCCACACTCTTCCCCACTCCCCTCAGCAGAACGGTGTGGCAGAGAGTCGTATCCGAGAGATCACCAAAACAGCCCGGTGCCTCTTGGTGCATGCCTCCTGCCCACCCTCCCTTTGGGGATATGCACTCCTTCATGCCACACTTCTCACTAACCTCTATCCCCACCCCAGTCGTCCCTCCACCACCCCCACTGAGTTATGGACCTCTACCAAACCTGATCTCTCCCCTCTTCGTGTCTGGGGCTGTAAAGCCCATGTCCTTATCCACCCCACAGACCGCTCTCGCAAGGCTGGCAAACTTGCCGCCAGGACCCTCCCCTGCATCCTCCTTGGCCACAACCCCTCTTCCCCAGATTACCTCTTCCTCCACCCTCCCTCAGGCCGCCTTATTCGCAGTCGTGACGTTATCTTTGATGAGTCCACCACGTACTACGCTTCCACACCTCCCACTGACCCGATCTCCCTTCCCCCCCGCCCCCTCCGTTGGACTGACACCACCCCCCCACCCCTTCTCCCCCCTCCCCTGGTTGTTCCCCCGACCCCAGCTCCAGCTCCCCTCCCACCCTCTGGATCCTCCATCTCAGGTTCCTCAGGTGACATCCTTGACCCGGTAATCCCCCCCTCCCCCTCCCACTCCATCGCCGTTCCCCCCCACTCATCCCCTGCCCCGTCCAACCCTTCCTCCCGCCCCGCTCCTTCCCCCCCTCCCCCCCCTCCTCCTCTCCGTCCGGCTCCTTCCATTACCCTCCAACCACGTCCCCACACCCGCTCCCTTGATTCCATTCTCGGTCCCCGTCTCCCCCCACTCACCCTGTCTTGCACTCCTTCCCCCCCTCTCCTCAGTACACTCCCACTCCCCCACCAGTACACTCTCCCATCGTCGCCACCTCCACCCGTCTCCAGTCGCCACTCGCAGCCGACTACCAGCGCAGCTGACCAGCAGAGCAGCAGGACAGCAGAGCAGCAGCGCAGCAGGCCAGCAGAGCAGCGGCGCAGCAGAGCAGCAGGACAGCAGTGCAGCAGGGCAGCAGCGCAGCAGGCCAGCAGAGCAACGGCGCAGCAGAGCAGCTGGACAGCAGTGCAGCAGGGCAGCAGCGCAGCAGCGCAGCAGGCCAGCAGAGCAGCGGCGCAGCAGAGCAGCAGGGCAGCAGGGCAACAAAGCAGCCGACCAGCAGGGCAGCAGAGCAGCCGAACAGCAGAGCCGCAGTCCAGCAGCCAGCCCTCACTCTGCGCAGCCGTCTTGCATCGTCACCACCCCCCTCTCTTCGTCCTCCTCTCTCTCCCCTTCTCTTTGAGGACACCCATGATGAGCTCCTCTTTCTCCACCACTGCCAACCCACTCGTGCCCCCATCGTGCGCACCATGACAGGCATCCCTGTCCTCCTCTTCTCTGGGGCCCCCACCATCTTTGAACCCACCGCCTACGAGGAGGCCATGGCCTGCCTTGACGCCCCTCTTTGGGTCGAGGCTATGGCCAAGGAAACATCCTCCTTCATCCACAACGGCACCTTCATCGACGTCCCTCGACCCACCTCCTCCAATGTCGACAAAGGAAAATGGGTCTTTCGGGTGAAGCTGCTTCCTGGCGAATCACCCGTTTACAAAGCCCGCTACTGTGCCAAAGGGTTCACACAGACACATGGCTCTGACTTCTTCGAGACATACTCCCCCACAGCCGCCCCCCCTGTCGTCCGGGTGTTTCTAGGCTTCGTCGGTCGCTGTGGGATGCTCTTACACTCCATGGACGTCACCACAGCATTTCTCCAAGGGGATCTGCATGAGACCATCTTCATGGAACGACCACAAGGCTTTTCAGCACCGTTTGATCCCTCAACAGTTTGGAAGCTGTGCCGCCCTGTCTACGGCCTCAAACAGGCTCCTCGTGAATGGCATGCCAAACTCTCCTCCACACTCCGGGATCTTGGCTTCTGCCCCTCCAAAGTTGCCCCCTGCCTCTTCATCCGCACCTCGCCCTCCCCATTCTACATCCTCGTCTACGTTGATGATATGCTCCTGGCCACTGAGTCTACGACCGACCTTCAGGAGGTCAAAACCCAACTTCAGCAGCGGCTTGCATGCAAAGACCTGGGCGAGGTCCGCAACTACCTCGGGATGGAAATAACTAGGGACTTGGAGGCACGGACCATTTCTCTTTCCCAACGCTTCTACATCGAGAAAGTGTTAAAACGGTTTGACATGGCCACCGCCAAACCCATCTCCACTCCTCTTCGTGTTGGTCATCAGCTTGCTCCACCTGCCACTCCCTCCGCCTCTCCCGACCCCTATGCTGAACTTGTTGGGGCCCTGATGTACGCCATGACCTGCACCCGCCCCGACCTCGCCTACCCGATCAGCGTCCTCGCACGGTTCATTGGCCCTGGCAAACACACCTCTGAGCATTGGCGTGCTGCCAAGCGCGTCCTTCGGTACCTTCGCGGCACCAAGGACCACGTCCTTACCCTTGGCGGCCCCACTCCCCCTACCCTCACCGGGTACAGTGACTCCTCGTGGGCTGACTCCCAGCCTGACCGCCGCAGCAGTCAAGGCTACGGCTTCTCCCTCGGCAGCGGCCTCATCAGCTGGCGCTCCACTCGGTCCTCCTCCATCTCCCTCTCCTCCTGCGAGGCGGAACTCTATGCTGTCACTATGGCTGCCCAAGAGGCGCGCTGGCTGTCCTACCTCCTCTCTGATCTTGGCGCCCCCCAGCCATGCCCCACCATCTGGTGTGACAACGCAAGCACCATCCACCTTACCAAAGAGGCAGTTTTTCATGGTCGCTCCAAGCACATTGAACTTCGTCACTACTTTGTTCGCGATCTCGTCAATGATGGTCACATCACCATCCGCAAAATCGACTCCTCTGCAAACCTGGCAGACATCTTCACCAAAGCGCTCCCTCGCCCCATGCACTCTGCGCTCCTTCCAATGCTAGGGCTTGCACCGCCCCCCGCCTCCCCCTGTGGCTGATTAAGGGGTTGCGTCTTCTTCCCAAGACTTCTTGCTCTATGCATGATAAGGGGTTGTGTTAGAATACTCATATTCTTTGTATCATGCATAGACTAGCAAGACTTGGTTAGATGTAAGCACCCAAGTTTATCTTGGGTGTAGAACTAGGGTTTGCCCTAGTTGAGGGGTTGGGGTCAATCCAACCTTGGTCCAATATTGTGACCCCCCAATAATTGGGCTCCCCATTATTGGAGGTTCAGTAATTGTGGCCCTCCCTACCACAATTATTGACCCCTCCAATAATTGGTGACCCCAACTTATTGGTGGGGGCCAATAATTGTGGCAAGGCCCCCAACTCAACTCATCCCTCTTCCTCAACTATGTAAACTCCCTTGTTCCTTAATGAAACCATCATTCAGATTTCTCACAACGTGGTGACCACCCTGTTGTCGGCGATGTCGAGGAGCTCCCAGCCCTTGCTCTCCGACGACACGCCAAGGTGAAGGCCCCACCTGGCCTTCGGCTTCAGCTTCCCACCACGCTGCTGCTCGGGGACCAAGTACTGTGCCATGCAGCCCCACACCCGTGCCAGCGACAAGTCGGGCTTCGTTCCGGTGAGGAGCTGGTACGGCGTCGTCTCCGGCGGCAACGTCGATCGCTCAAGGCAGTTGCGGACCCAGACGGCCTGCCGCTGAGCGAGGTGCCACTAGTGGTGCTGCACGCCCATGTGCAGCAGCATCGTCCGCACCGACTCCACCACCGTCCTCATCTCCCGCTCCGCCATGCCATTCTGCTGCGGGGTGTACGGGCAAGTAAGGTCGTGGACGATCCCCTTGCTGTCCACGAAGTCGGTGAACTTCTTCCCGAGGAACTCCCCTCCTCGCTCTGAGCGCAGCATCAGCACCGACTTCTTCGCCTGCCTCTCCACCAACACCAACCAAATCTGGAACTCCAGCAGCACATCCGACTTCTTGGCGAC